TAGGTAGGATTAGGTTGTCCTTAACTCTGCTGTCTCCTCTCTAGACCACTCTAGTCCCTCCTCCAGTCCTCTCTGTCCCTCCTCCAGTCCCCCCTGTCCCTCCTCCAGTCCTCCCTGTCCCTCCTCCAGTCCCCCATATCCCTCCTCCAGTCCTCCCCGTCCCTCCTCCAGTCCTCCCTGTCCCTCCTCCAGTCCCCCCTGTCCCTCCTCCAGTCCTCCCCGTCCCTCCTCCAGTCCTCCCCGTCCCTCCTCCAGTCCTCCCCGTCCCTCCTCCAGTCCTCCCTGTCCCTCCTCCAGTCCTCCCCGTCCCTCCTCCAGTCCTCCCCGTCCCTCCTCCAGTCCCCCCTGTCCCTCCTCCAGTCCTCCCCGTCCCTCCTCCAGTCCTCCCTGTCCCTCCTCCAGTCCCCCCTGTCCCTCCTCCAGTCCCCCCTGTCCCTCCTCCAGTCCCCCTGTCCCTCCTCCAGTCCTCCCTGTCCCTCCTCCAGTCCTCCCTGTCCCTCCTCCAGTCCTCCCCGTCCCTCCTCCAGTCCTCCCTGTCCCTCCTCCAGTCCTCCCCGTCCCTCCTCCAGTCCTCTCTGTCCCTCCTCCAGTCCTCCCTGTCCCTCCTCCAGTCCTCCCTGTCCCTCCTCCAGTCCTCCCCCTGTCCCCGTCCTCCAGTCCCCCTGTCCCTCCTCCAGTCCCCCTGTCCCTCCTCCAGTCCTCCCTGTCCCTCCTCCAGTCCTCCCGTCCCTCCTCCAGTCCTCCCGGGTCCTCCTCCAGTCCTCCCTGTCCCTCCTCCAGTCCTCCTGTCCCTCCTCCAGTTTCCTCCCTTGTCCCTCCTCCAGTCCTCCCTGTCCCTCCTCCAGTCCTCCCCGTCCCCCTCCTCCAGTCCTCCCTGTCCCTCCTCCAGTCTCCTCCCCTAGTCCCCGTCCTCCAGTCCTCCCTGTCCCTCCTCCAGTCCTCCCTGTCCCTCCTCCAGTCCTCCCTGTCCCTCCTCCAGTCCTCCCTGTCCCTCCTCCAGTCCTCCCTGTCCCTCCTCCAGTCCTCCCTGTCCCTCCTCCAGTCCTCCCCTGTCCTCCTCCAGTCCTCCTGTCCCTCCTCCAGTCCTCCCTGTCCCTCCTCCAGTCCTCCCTGTCCCTCCTCCAGTCCTACCTGTCCCTCCTCCAGTCCCCCCCGTCCCTCCTCCAGTCCCCCCGTCCCTGCGACAGTCCTCCCTGTCTAACCCGCTTCTCTCTCTCCTCTCTCCAGGCCACCCTCTCACTGCTCCTGGACCATCTGAGCCTTGTTGCCTCCTACAGTGACTGTAACCGGATGAACTGTCAGAACCTGGCTGTGTGTTTCGGCCCGGTGCTCCTGACCCCCACCCAGGAGTCCTGGAGACCCACTGCACCAGGACAGGGAGGGCAGGGCGGGCACGGGGGGAGCTCTGGACGGGGCGGACGGAGTTTCGCTCACAGTGAGGAGATCGCCAGTGCTGTGGACTTCAAGAGACACATCGAGGCCTTACATTACCTGCTGCAGCTTTGGCCCAGTAAGTGTCTGTTGGTACTAGTAGACCTGCATATCCAACGGGCCAAACTGATTGGAATAACCTCATTACAACCAGAGAAATTGGTTGAAGTTAGAGTTTTGTTACATCATTTCAACCAGTCTTCCCACTTGGTAGTGATACTGTATTATATATATATAGATATTATGGTAATGATACTGTATTATTAATATATATTTTATGGTAATGATACTGTATTATATATATATTATGGTAACGATACTGTATTATATATATATATATATATATATATATATATTATGGTAATGATACTGTATTATATATATATATATTATGGTAATGATACTGTATTATTAATATATATTTTATGGTAATGATACTGTATTATATATATATATATTATGGTAGTGATACTGCATTATATATATATATATATATTATGTAATGATACTGTATTATATATATATATATTATGGTAATGGATACTGTATTATATATATATATATATATATATATATATATATATATATATATATATGTTATGGTAATGATACTGTATTATATATATATATATATTATTATGGTAATTGATACTGTATTTTATAGATCATATATATATATATATATATATATATATATATATATTATGGTAATGATACTGTTTTATATATATATATATATTATATATATATATATATATATATATTTGGTAGTGATACTGTATTATATATATATATTATGGTAATGATACTGTATATTATATATATATATATATATATACTATATATATATATATATTATATATATTATGGTAATGATACTGTATTATATATATATATATATATATATATTATGGTAATGATACTGTGTTATATATATATATATTATGGTAATGATACTGTATTATATATATATATTATGGTAATGATACTGTATTATATATATATATTTTATGGTAATGATACTGTATTATATATATATATATATATATATATATATATATATATATATATTATGGTAATGATACTGTATTATCTATATGTTATGGTGGTGATACTGTATTATATATATATATTATGGTAGTGATATTGTATTATATATATATATATTATGGTAATGATACTGTATTATATATATATATATATATATTATGGTAGTGATACTGTATTATATATATTATTGTAGTGATACTGTATTATATATGTTATGGTAGTGATACTGTATTATATATATATATTATGGTAGTAATACTGTATTATATATATTATGGTAGTGATACTGTATTATATATATATATTATGGTAGTAATACTGTATTATATATATATATTATGGTAGTAATACTGTATTATATATATATATTATGGTAGTGATACTGTATTATATATATATATATGTATTATGGTAGTGATACTGTATTATATATATGTATTATGGTAGTGATACTGTATTATATATATATATTATGGTAGTGATACCAAAAGTATGTGGACACCTGCTCGTGTCCAAACTGGTGTATTTGATTTGCATCAGTAGGATGTGTTAAGAACATTTAATCTCTGTCTTTGAAACCTTTCCTCTGTTTGCTTCCCCTTCCTTAGTTCCTACTGGAGGGAACGACGACCCTGACTCTCCCACCCTCCTCCAGCCCTCCTCCGGTTCAGACGTGCCTCCTTCCCCTCCCAGCCCCATGCCCCATAACCCCCTGCCGCGGCGCTGTCAGCGTGGCCTGTCCCTGCGTCTGGACCTCCCGGGGGACGAAGTGGGCGTGGTGTCGCGACGTGGGCGGGGCCGACTGGAGAGCCCACCCTGTAACCGGTATGCTGGCGACTGGAGCGTGTGTGGGCGGGACTTCCTGTCTGGAGGGGAAGCGGACTACGATGAGGTGGCGGGGAGCGACAGTGATGAAGAGGAGGAAGACAGGGAGGAGAAGACGGCGGAGTGGACTCAGTACGTAGAGGACTTAGTCCTGGACTTTGACGCCCCGTTTACCTGCAGACTGAGTCTCAAAGACTTTGATACGCTGATATCAGACCTGGAGAGAGAGCTGTCCAAACAGATCAAAATCTGTCTCTGAGAAAGAGGTAGAGTAGAGGAGAGGAGAGGAGAGGAGAGGGGAGGGGAGGGGAGGGGAGGGGAGGGGAGAGGAGAGGGAGGAGGGGGAGGGGAGGGGATGGGGAGGGAGGGAGGGGAGGGGAGGGGAGGGGAGGGGGAGGAGGGAGAGGAGAGGAGAGGAGAGGAGACATAGTATTATTGAAGGTCAGGAAATTCTAGTCTTTATTAGGAAATGACCAAAGAAAGACGACAAGCAATGGTATTTGCTTCAGTAATGTTGAAGTGTATTTAAATGTTCCAATATGTTTAAAATGCTTAATTCCCAGTGTTTTCTTATTCCAAATGCTGGTTCTTCTACAAACAAGTGATAACATTCTATTCTTGGATAACACAAGGACACCTTATTTGTAGAGACATCGACCAGTAAAGTCCTGGCAATTCATTGTTTGTAAAATCCTAGTTTCTATGTCAGGCTGTAACGCTCGCCTGTCAGTTTGCTCTGTTATGTTTTCAGTCAAATGTTTGTGCCAAAAAAAATGTATTTATTTATTTCTCCCATTTTGAAGAAGTCCATATATTTTTTCGAAGGATTTGTTGATGTAATTCCAATGATTTATTCTCTAAATTCCAGTGAAGGATAGATCTAAATTATGATAGATCTATAATAAGTTTGGACAAATAATGCATTGAAAATGTATATTATATGAAATTTGATGAGATGTCAAAATATGTTAGTTAAAGTGTTAATATGTCCGTTAGTCAGATTCCAGGTTGATCTTACATTTACATTTTAGTCATTTAGCAGACGCTCTTATCCAGAGCAACTTACAGTTAGTGAGTGCATACATTATTTTTTATACTGGCCCCCCCCCGTGGGAAACTAACCCACAACCCTGGCGTTGCAAACGCCATGCTCTACCAACTGAGCTACATCCCCTGCCGGCCATTCCCTCCCCTACCCCGGACGACGCTGGGCCAATTGTGCACCGCCCCATGGGTCTCCCGGTCGCGGCCGGCTACGACAGAGCCTGGATTCGAACCAGGATCTCTAGTGGCACAGCGATGCAGTGCCTTGGACCACTGCGCCACTCGGGAGAATGTGAATTAATGAACTGAGTTGGATTTAGACACGAGCACAAACCTTTCAGCTGATTTCCACAAGACACACACACCAAAGACTCATTATAAAACTGGCTTGCACTTCTGTTCTAAGTAACAATATTGTAATACTTTTCATATTTTGTCATGTTTTGTAATATTGTTTCATATTTTGCTGCATACTCTGCTATGCATTGTTGCTGTAAACAGCCATGTTATTGTGATATTTGTGCACGGTACAATCATATTTTGATAACTGTTATTTTTGAAGCCACAGAAGGAATGAAACAGCCATATTACAGAGCAGTTTGCTCCAAAAATGTTACAACTTCCTGTTTTGTTTTTGTATTTGTGCTGTTTTATTGTATAAACAGTATTACACGGTATTGCACATCTACAATAAGCACTTACATTTTGTTGATGTCCTAATGCATATCGTAACCAAGTGTTAAAATACACTATTCTGTATGCCATACAGTGTTATCAACCAAAAAAAATAAAGCACAGTATTATATTTACAGATGAGTTTGAAGCTTGTCTTCAATGTGAAGCGTGAGTTCATGGGATTCTTCCCATCCACAATAGGAACGAACTAGTCGACCACATCACTGGGTGAGCAGTCTTCCAGAGCAGCTTTTACATGACCATATCTGCCTCTACAAGATACTCTTTCTCAGAGAGGCCTAGTAGTAGTGGTGGATCCATCCACTAGGAGTTGTTTTATCATGGGGAACTGCTGCCCTCTGTAGTGGATCCATCCACTAGGAGTTGTTTTATCATGGGGAACCGCTGCCCTCTGTAGTGGATCCATCCACTAGGAGTTGTTTTATCATGGGGAACCGCTGCCCTCTGTAGTGGATCCATCCACTAGGAGTTGTTTTATCATGGGGAACTGCTGCCCTCTGTAGTGTATCCATCCACTAGGAGTTGTTTTATCATGGGGAACTGCTGCCCTCTGTAGTGGATCCATCCACTAGGAGTTGTTTTATCATGGGGAACTGCTGCCCTCTGTAGTGGATCCATCCACTAGGAGTTGTTTTTTCATGGGGAACTGCTGCCCTCTGTAGTGTATCCATCCACTAGGAGTTGTTTTATCATGGGGAACTGCTTCCCTCTGTAGTGTATCCATCCACTAGGAGTTGTTTTATCATGGGGAACTGCTGCCCTCTGTAGTGTATCCATCCACTAGGAGTCTTTATATCATGGGGAACTGCTTCCCTCTGTAGTGGATCCATCCACTAGGAGTTGTTTTATCATGGGGAACTGCTGCCCTCTGTAGTGTATCCATCCACTAGGAGTTGTTTTATCATGGGGAACTGCTGCCCTCTGTAGTGTATCCATCCACTAGGAGTTGTTTTATCATGGGGAACCGCTGCCCTCTGTAGTGGATCCATCCACTAGGAGTTGTTTTATCATGGGGAACCGCTGCCCTCTGTAGTGTATCCATCCACTAGGAGTTGTTTTATCATGGGGAACTGCTGCCCTCTGTAGTGGATCCATCCACTAGGAGTTGTTTTATCATGGGGAACTGCTGCCCTCTGTAGTGGATCCATCCACTAGGAGTTGTTTTATCATGGGGAACTGCTGCCCTCTGTAGTGTATCCATCCACTAGGAGTTGTTTTATCATGGGGAACTGCTGCCCTCTGTAGTGGATCCATCCACTAGGAGTTGTTTTATCATGGGGAACCGCTGCCCTCTGTAGTGTATCCATCCACTAGGAGTTGTTTTATCATGGGGAACCGCTGCCCTCTGTAGTGTATCCATCCACTAGGAGTTGTTTTATCATGGGGAACTGCTGCCCTCTGTAGTGTATCCATCCACTAGGAGTTGTTTTATCATGGGGAACTGCTGCCCTCTGTAGTGGATCCATCCACTAGGAGTTGTTTTATCATGGGGAACTGCTGCCCTCTGTAGTGGATCCATCCACTAGGAGTTGTTTTATCATGGGGAACTGCTTCCCTCTGTAGTGGATCCATCCACTAGGAGTTGTTTTATCATGGGGAACCGCTGCCCTCTGTAGTGTATCCATCCACTAGGAGTTGTTTTATCATGGGGAACTGCTGCCCTCTGTAGTGGATCCATCCACTAGGAGTTGTTTTATCATGGGGAACTGCTGCCCTCTGTAGTGTATCCATCCACTAGGAGTTGTTTTATCATGGGGAACCGCTGCCCTCTGTAGTGGATCCATCCACTAGGAGTTGTTTTATCATGGGGAACTGCTTCCCTCTGTAGTGGATCCATCCACTAGGAGTTGTTTTATCATGGGGAACCGCTGCCCTCTGTAGTGTATCCATCCACTAGGAGTTGTTTTATCATGGGGAACCGCTGCCCTCGGTAGTGTATCCATCCACTAGGAGTTGTTTTATCATGGGGAACTGCTTCCCTCTGTAGTGGATCCATCCACTAGGAGTTGTTTTATCATGGGGAACCGCTGCCCTCTGTAGTGGATCCATCCACTAGGAGTTGTTTTATCATGGGGAACTGCTGCCCTCTGTAGTGGATCCATCCACTAGGAGTTGTTTTATCATGGGGAACTGCTGCCCTCTGTAGTGGATCCATCCACTAGGAGTTGTTTTATCATGGGGAAGTGCTGCCCTCTGTAGTGGATCCATCCACTAGGAGTTGTTTTATCATGGGGAACTGCTGCCCTCTGTAGTTTATCCATCCACTAGAGTTGTTTTATCATGGGGAACTGCTGCCCTCTGTAGTGTATCCATCCACTAGGAGTTGTTTTATCATGGGGAAACCGCTGCCCTCTGTAGTGGATCCATCCACTAGGAGTTGTTTTATCATGGGGAACCGCTGCCCTCTGTAGTGTATCCATCCACTAGGAGTTGTTTTATCATGGGGAACTGCTGCCCTCTGTAGTGTATCCATCCACTAGGAGTTGTTTTATCATGGGGAACTGCTGCCCTCTGTAGTGTATCCATCCACTAGGAGTTGTTTTATCATGGGGAACTGCTGCCCTCTGTAGTGGATCCATCCACTAGGAGTTGTTTTATCATGGGGAACTGCTGCCCTCTGTAGTGGATCCATCCACTAGGAGTTGTTTTATCATGGGGAACTGCTGCCCTCTGTAGTGGATCCATCCACTAGGAGTTGTTTTATCATGGGGAACTGCTGCCCTCTGTAGTGGATCCATCCACTAGGAGTTGTTTTATCATGGGGAACTGCTGCCCTCTGTAGTGTATCCATCCACTAGGAGTTGTTTTATCATGGGGAACTGCTGCCCTCTGTAGTGTATCCATCCACTAGGAGTTGTTTTATCATGGGGAACCGCTGCCCTCTGTAGTGGATCCATCCACTAGGAGTTGTTTTATCATGGGGAACTGCTGCCCTCTGTAGTGGATCCATCCACTAGGAGTTGTTTTATCATGGGGAACTGCTGCCCTCTGTAGTGGATCCATCCACTAGGAGTTGTTTTATCATGGGGAACTGCTGCCCTCTGTAGTGGATCCATCCACTAGGAGTTGTTTTATCATGGGGAACTGCTGCCCTCTGTAGTGTATCCATCCACTAGGAGTTGTTTTATCATGGGGAACTGCTGCCCTCTGTAGTGGATCCATCCACTAGGAGTTGTTTTATCATGGGGAACTGCTGCCCTCTGTAGTGGATCCATCCACTAGGAGTTGTTTTATCATGGGGAACTGCTGCCCTCTGTAGTGGATCCATCCACTAGGAGTTGTTTTATCATGGGGAACTGCTGCCCTCTGTAGTGGATCCATCCACTAGGAGTTGTTTTATCATGGGGAACTGCTGCCCTCTGTAGTGTATCCATCCACTAGGAGTTGTTTTATCATGGGGAACCGCTGCCCTCTGTAGTGTATCCATCCACTAGGAGTTGTTTTATCATGGGGAACTGCTGCCCTCTGTAGTGGATCCATCCACTAGGAGTTGTTTTATCATGGGGAACTGCTGCCCTCTGTAGTGTATCCATCCACTAGGAGTTGTTTTATCATGGGGAACTGCTGCCCTCTGTAGTGGATCCATCCACTAGGAGTTGTTTTATCATGGGGAACTGCTGCCCTCTGTAGTGTATCCATCCACTAGGAGTTGTTTTATCATGGGGAACTGCTGCCCTCTGTAGTGGATCC